AGGAATGGTCTTGTATGTGATGGTCTCACGGATACAGAGATTGATAGGGTCTCGGATCAGCAATGGACATCAAGGACAACTATAGCTGACGTTAGACAAGTCGTGGCTCAAGGAAGCAATAGAGAGAAGCTTCCTCGCGTTTAGGGAGACCCATATGTGGAACAGAACTGGGGGCGCACCGAGTCATAGACACGGTTAACAGCGATATGGGGTGCAGGACTATTCAGGTGTCCCACCAACATCGTATGCACCCATGTGGGTCCCGCGCAGACCACACCTCCGTCCGTATGCTTCGTAGGGCTAGGGGTATCCTTGAGAGCTGCTTCTTGGCTCCCACAAACGTTTCAGAGGCTCCCAGGAGCAAGAGAACTCCCAGGGCCCAGAGATTAGTTCCTAGTACGGATGGAACCGTCTGCAGAGCGTGAACAGTTCCTTAATAGTGATGATGAAGATGTGCATCTTTGTATCTGGATACTGCGATGAGTATCTATTTGCTATTCATACGGACAGCGACAGAAACTACGCGAATAAAACTGGTATCATTAATCAGGCCTAATAAGTATGGTTTCCCACTTACTTCTGGAGGCAGTAATGGGACTGCCTCTGTCTGGGCACGAATTGGAGGCGGGCGACCGAGATAAAAAACACTTCAATGAGTTGGACGAGAATATAGATCGTTGCATCCCCCTGGGGGTTGCGGCTCATACGGTGCCCCATTCAAACTTACCTGTATGGAATATGGTTACACGGTCATCGGTAAAGGCACCACGTCAGGATTATGGGAAGAAGTTTCCCGCGAAGCGCAGGTTTATCGAGTGCTGCGCAAGGCCCAAGGATCCGCTGTACCTGTATTCTTGGGTACGATTGACTTGGCAAAAATCTATTTTCTTCATGGCGCTGGAGAAATCTGCCACATGCTCATAATGGGCTGGGGAGGCGAATGCACAGCGACGATGGAGGTGACGCAGTGGCTTCGCCGCGAGATACACAAATCGAACAAGGAAATTAGAGCCCTTGGTATGACGACCTGCGGCGAGACAATGTCCTTTGGAGTGAAGAGCTTGGCCGTGCTTTGATCATTGACTTCCATCGCTCTACTTTGAAATGTCGACCGGTTTTACAACGGTCGGGGCAGCCAAACGACGACGACTATGTCAAACAGAGGCAGGAGATGCAAAACGTTTTCGTATCTCTTGACAACGGGATTTTCTTATGATCTGTTGAGTTAGCGATCTTATATATGATACCCAGATTTTCAATCTCATCCGGTCATTCTAAGTACACAATAGAGCGAATCACAAATCTTAAACCTCGGACTGAATTCTTTCAAATTAGAATAAGAGAAACAACGACACTGAAGTTCTCACTGAATTTGATTAGGCATCTTGCTATGGTCTTCCTCCTTTGATTTTACGTCAGCCTAAACATATGCGCCCTGAGTGCTCGATACGTATATTCTATAGTCCTAATTACGGCGAGGAGCACGACAAGAGGAAACCGAAGTTGGAATGCGGGCAAGAGCGGTAGACGTGGTAGATGAAACAGCCTTTCCAGGCACACCCTTGGTAAGATCAGGAATAGTTGACTTGATGGCTGCCAAGGCACTGAATGTAGGTGTTCCGGTGCATGGTGGCTCACCTTCGCGAAGAAGATGATCCAGTTCGCCATTGTGCTCCACAATGCTTCCTGGTTGAGGAAACCGAATGTCCACGTTCTCTTTGGTGACGCAGCCATTTATGTTGGCGATGAACATGGGTGGGAAATTAGGCGTTTGCTTTTGTATGCTCTTGTGGCACTGTTGCGACGAGGCACCAGACACGGTGACTGGGGCACAGTTCATATACATCTCACGATTCCCAATACGATTGAACCACGTCCAGGCCAACGTATATTTCCCGGGATTAATGCCTTCGGGGATTGCGAAATCGAGGTGAAGGGCATTGTCGGCAGTGGCGCCTCCGGCGAGTTTCTCTGCCTTCGTGGGACAGCCTCCTTCATAGGACTTGATGACCTTCCATTCGGAATCTTTGGTTGGCTCACGGTCTTCGGTCAGGCTCAATTGGCATGAGCCGCCACCGTGTGTTGCACTTCCTTTGAACTTGATTATGTTTTCAATGCCGATCTGGTAGACAGACTCTGTTGAAGGAGCCAAGAATGCATCTGTGCGTAGTTTACAGGGAAAATCGCTACCATGTTCAGCGAGAGGAGAGTTGTTGAGGGTTTCCTTGCTGTAGGGCTCAGGGGACATCATGATCAGATGTCCGCTGACCGCCTGTAAGACGATCGCCTCCAACAGTAGAATATATCTAATGAGCATCATAATTGTGGAAGGCTCGGTTGATCTTCGCTATATTGGAGCACCACTTGACGAATTGAATCCCTTGTAGAGGTCTAAGAATTTGGATGCCGGGGAGACAATTGATTTATAAAAGATATAGAGCAAATCACAAAACCAACACTGGTGGCTCATCAAAGTCACTGTGGAAAGAAAGCTGATGTGAGTCAATCAAGGATTTGCTCAGAATAAGTGACGCCACATATAAGCGCTTGTTCGAAGCTCATGAGTCCGAGATTAGTGGGTTGAAAGCAAACTCATCACATATCTGAAACTTTAGTAAATATTGGCAAGTGGATGTGTTAACCGGACGGTGCGGCTTTGTTCGTAGTCTGCCCCAGGTTCATATCACAACATGATTAAATGAGCACATTAGGAATGCAAATTCCAATTTGGCGCCGACATTTTTCGCTCCTATGAGTGGACCGACAGTGTACTGGTGAGTCAATCAAACGATATTGGAGCGCTCAATTGTAATTCACCGGAGTCAACGAAGCTAGAGGGAAACGTGAAATCAGACCACACAGTAGTATAATGATCACAGAGTTCGAATCTACTGCGTATGGGACTAGAAATCTTGGAACCAACGCTTGTTGTAGGAATATCTGAGATGCTGTTGACAGCGTTTGCGTTAGAGGCATCATAAAGGTAGTCTGTATTGACGCAGCTTTCTGCGTCTTACTTGCATCTTGATCATGCCAAGATCATGGCCAATGCCAAAGTACACATGCGCAATTGGCTTTATTTAGTAGTCCATGGTTAATTATGGTCTACTTTCAGTTCAAATTGAGCCTAGGAGATTCTGTCGTTCTCAATAAATTTCTACGCAGCGCCGGTTCTCTACCAGCTCCTTGAAAATACATCGACCATAACCAATCTCAGCCGGTAATATGTCTCGGAAACATAGAAAACCTCTTCCCCCATTGTTGCCGGCTCAGCCTTTTCCTGAGCTACATGTTCAGCATGATGATATAATATTCTCAACCGTCAAGCCGCCGACCGTAGCGACCGATCCTTTCTATTATCTGGACTCACAGGTCCTGCCAAACTGGTCCAACCTCGATGACAGCATATGGAAGGCTAACCGCACTGACGCTGCTTCGCTGCAATGTGACAATCGGGCAGAGCATGGAGTCATCCAGGTCTACTACTGTTCCCCGGGTTCTCATCATCATACGCCAATCTTGCTGGGGGACCATGGCATTCCCAGCGTCTATCTTCCTCAGGAAGCAGACCACTCCCTTGATCCGACCTCCATACTTTGCCCGCCGCCATTGAGGCTTTGTCATTTGCGACGGATTGACTCGATCCCAATGTCCAATATAGCTGACCGGCTGCCGGGGGCTGATTTCTCGACAATGCAGAATATCGACCCTGCGCTGGTTTTTCCAAGTACTTCGACAACTACTCCTGAGCCCTTGAGATTTACAGCAAATCTTGGCGCCGCTGCTGAAGTCTGTCCTATCCCCGCTGATACCGGTATCTCCCCTTGGTTTCTTGATCAACCACCAGGGAATTCCCAGATAGTTCATGACAAGAGCGCGTGCATAAACGATCTTTCACTGCCTGACTGTCATGATTATGACAAGCAGCCTGATCATAAGCCGGATGTTAAGGACCAGGAATTTGATATGCACAAGCGAAAATTCAAGTGCAACATCATCGGCTGCAGAATGGGGTTCAAGCGTCAGGACCACCTCGAGCGCCATACAAGGAGTCACTCGAAGGAAAAGCCCTATGTCTGCTGGGTGCCTGGATGCCACCGTGCCTTTTCACGCTGCGACAACCTCAACGTCCATTGTACGAAGACACATGCGAGACCGGGTGGTCGCAACCGTTATGTTGCACCCTCGACGAGACGAGCCCCGACTACGATCCAGATTTCCGTGGCCAGCTGTCGTTTGACGGGCGCCCACTCGGATTTCCAGCACCTACTAGCCCCCTATCTGAAGCTAAGCCTCAGCAACCATAACTTTGCGCAAGATTGAAAATCAATGCCTGATTCTTTCAGATAACAAACGAACGAAACTAAGTAGCCTTACAGTACGTCCCGAAACTGGTGCAACCGTCTACACTCTTAAGTGATTATTTAGCCCCACTGCCAAGAAACACTAGTCTATATTGGGAATCATTCCGATAGTTACTTGGGTATTTGATCGTACTCGGATGACATAATAACTGGAAGACGCGCGCGTTGCGCGCATCGGCCCTGAAACGAAGAACTGGAAAGGAGAGACAGAAAGGTGGAAAGAAATATTAAGATGTGTGGATTGACGTTCAAGTTGTTTAATTAAGAATGACCAATGAGACGAAAGATCAGATGACTAATAAACGCGATTGAGAAAAGCAACTAAGAATCTGTTAACCTTGCTAACAGTTTTTGTTTTACGATATCGCGAGTATATCAGCACATGAAGTTTTCCTTGGCCTTTGAGAGCATCTCTCTGGAGTGGGAGTGGTAGCACGAGGTAAGACCTGGACTTCGTCTGCTGTCTCTGGCCACGTTATTTGCGTGCTTTCGTCGTCCTCATCATCAGGTACATTTGTTCCGGTTGGCTCAGGATATTGCTGGTCGCTGAGAGAGGGTTCATTTTGAGGGGTTGTATTTGATTTGGAGGGAGTTGTGGGGCCGGCCCTCTGGGACCAACGATCGACTCGCTTCCGTTTACCCGTTGTTGAGGAAGCAGTTGAGGTAGTCGATGAGTTGGTGCTGGGAGAAAATGAGGATGGGGATTTCATTCTGTTCAACGTCGTCTGATTGAATATCTTTGCTCGGTATACAGTACTTCCGAAAATCGGTGTCGGCACCAACACTCTTCGATTGTTTCTGGAACCCAAATGCGAAGGTCCACTGGACTATATTTAGAATACCCTCGGATTAGCAATATTCCTGTATCGTCAACTATACAGTATTTTACTTTATGAGACCTTCGAGGGTCATAGCCACGGGGTCAACCCGGCCACCTTCGCGTCGTAGCGTCCTGGCAATGGCTGCTAGTAATGACTTTGAGCAAATGGAAGAGTGTACACTGTCTTCTCCGTCGGGGAAAATCTCATGGGCTGCTTCTCGAAGCAGAAAGTCCTTGGCTGACTGATGAACTAGAGAGATTGTGCGTCTTCGGAGTGTTAGGAAAGAGCCACAAATCCCTATAATCTCTGCTAGATCAGAATTGTCTGCGATTTCTTCCGGTAAGTCGATGTAGGATGCTAATTCGTCCAACGTGATAGGGCGGTGAACGGCCGTGATAACGCTGAGTAGAGACTTGCATATTTCAGCATCATCCGACTCGCTAATTTGACCTAACATTCGCTTATAAAGCTCATCAAGGCCAGAAGGGAATTCTTCTAACTTCTTCCGAACGTTTCTTTTCGGGACGTTGGTGAGTTTCTCGCAAACCAAGGCTACCCAGAGGAAGGTACCATGTGCGTTTGACAATAAGTGTTGGGAAACAGTATCACGGATTTCACTAGTATATTTCTTCTTTTCTGCCAATTCCTGAACCCTATAGTGGATAAAGGCGGCGACAGCCTCAGCGACAGACGTCTCGTTTAATTCAAGACAGAGCTTTGTTTTTTGGGTCGCAACGTCAAGAATCTCTTCGATAGCTGGCCAGTTACGGCTCGAGACGATCCATTTGACATGTGGATATGCTGATGATTTCTGGGAGAGGAGTTTAAGAAGTCGATCTAAACCCGTAGTACATTCGTCGAGAGCATCGATGACTAAATAGGTGGTCTGCAACAGCGGGTCCTCGAGGATGCTAGTGAAAATTTCCGACAAAGCTTCCCACGCGTTAACATCCTCAAAGACCTGCTTCCCAGTTTTGTCATACGGTCGCCGTACATGGGGGATAAGGGATGGCTGCTGGTCAACCAGCATAAAGATAAGGCCGCGAAGGACTGCAGTGGCGTGGTTTATCCGTACGTCAGTGGCCTGGCAGAAAAAGAAGGACACGGTGGCAGTATCAGGAGCGAATGTAGTCAGCTCATTGATGATTCCACATAAGAGCATCGTTTTACCCTTGCCAGGGTCCCCTTTGATCCAGAGCAGTTGACTCTGTTCCTGATAGCGCCATCGTTTGAAATAAGCATGATCGAGGATCCAGCTGTATGCGTCTTTGAGTAGTCTACCCTTCTCCTTCTCGATACGATACTTGTCATGACGAGGATTGGTCGTTTGCAAATCCCGTAGGCAGGCTCGGGTTGCTGATATTTCAAATTGTTCTGAGACAGGAAAAGGCAATTAGTGTGTATTCACCTAGCATGGCTTCATCAAACCCTACCAGTGGTGGGATGAAACTGTGCAGTGATATGGCCATGATTTCGCCCTATTTGAAGCCCAGAGTTCGTGCCGCTAATAGATGTCGTAGACACTATAGCCATAGTAAGATAGGCGAGATATGTAGCTTTGCACGGTGGACGTGGTGAAGCACACCACGAAGTGAAAGCCGACCACGTAGCCTCTCCATCAGGTGACCCTTCATGCTTAACAACCATATATCAGAGGAGAGTTCAAAATAACAGTCTTGCTGGCCGCTGGCCTCTTCAGTCTCGATGAGCGTAATGAAAATAAGCCTATGCTTTGAGAGGTTATATTATCTTCCGTACAAAGGGACGATGATTCTTGAGGCGGGGCAACGAGGTGCCCTGTGTATTGAAAAGATACGAGTGAATACGCCCCGCTGTCCCGGCTACTCTTTGTAAAACACAATACAGGGGTTTTGGGATGAATTCCCAATATGTACTAGTTTGTAGTTTGGTTTAGTAATTAGGTTTCGAGGAACAATCGAAGAGTGTAGGGTGACACCGATTCCGGAAACACTGTATTGAGTAAAACACGTAGTTGTATGGAAAGCCATCTACCAGGCCGTGTTGGATCTGGTTCAACATTCTCGATGAAATCGCAAATGTGAAGAATAGCGGGAAAGGATTTATTTGATGGCATGTCAAAAGTAGATATGTACAGAAAAGTGTGGCTTCTAAATATCTAGGGGGGTTGTTCTGGGAGGGCGCAAAAAGAAAAGTAGTGAAGGGAGAAAGCAGGCAATAGTTGTGGTGTAGTATATCAGGCGTAGATACGAGGGAGAATGTGATCAGTCTAAACTTCCTGACCGCTTCATCGATAGGATGATTACGATATATAGGACATTAGTCTACTTATACAAATGCATGTAAGACGTGGAAAGATATGATTGGATATATAGTCTTTCGTTTCAAGAATTTGTCTACCACGTAGCGAGAGTCTGCTGTTGAAGCGCTTGTAACCTTCGCATTTCCTTAAGCAATTGAGGGTCAGGTCTGTGGTTAAAGTCACTTATACTGATCGATTGAAGAAGATGAAGGCTATTTAGCGAACGAAGGCGTGACAGCTGCACGTATGTGGAGCAGTATTTTCGGTGGGAGTCTTGTCGCCGATTCTTGATATCGTCTTTTAGATCCAGAATGACAGAGTCCAGGGTTGCGCCTTGGATTTTATAGTTAGTGAGACAAAATGCCGGACAGATAGGGGTTTGTTTCTGTCAGACTGAATATCCTTTCACATTAATAGACATCTCGAGCGGAAAGATAGAAAACACCACTATTAAGCGATTGGAAGAGATTCGATTGGGTGCGGGCTGGTTTGAAAGGAAGACAGACCGGAGGCTTAGTGCAAAAGATGTATAGGTTACCGAGTTCTAAAAATTCCGCTAATTATGCGTAGTCCGGTTAAGAACGACAGCGGATGATATCTCGGTGGTTGAATGGAAGTAGATAGACGAACTTGGCGCCCACAGTCATAGCAAAGCCGATTAGATAACATTCGAAACGAGGACATGAAAGTGACAAGAGGGGCGAAAACAGGAGATACATACTGACTCGGAATCGTGGTGGTAATAGACAGCACAACGTTGCAATATAACTAAGGACAATAAGCAGATGACGAAGCAATCATAGCAACTTAACGTGCAGAAGTATGCAGACAAAACCCTACAACCCTAAGCCAAGACGATCTAATCCAAATAAAGCGACAATAATGCAGGTACCAGGAGGCAGGAAGAGCGAATGAGCGACGAGCGTGGCAAAACAGCCCGTACGTAGTTAAGCCACCTCTTTTTGCAACGTCTCGCGCACACGTACATCCCCGTGTTGACTATTCCCTTTCTCTCACTTCGTTCGTTTCAGGGCATTACAATGGATGTATTAGCGTGTAAGTTAAATACACGTCATTGTACTGTACCAAATTTCCTGCGCTTTCAGCCTCACTGACAAGGCCTGCTGTGGCCGATTTGACTGTAGTTTTGGAAATTGGTTTTACAGTACCTTCAATCTCTCTCTTTCTATCTCGCGGGGCCGCACCTAGAACACACTGGTCCAGCCTGGGATATCCCTCGCCTAGCGTCTGTCTATGTTTCCTCGATTAGCTGGCGTAGGTTACAGTAAAGTGATCTTGCCTCCTGGAATTCTTTACCGAATGGAATTTACCACAACCCAAGTCTCATTGTATTTATTCTTGTTTCTATCAATGATGGCTCTTCGTGCATTCGACCGTTCCAGGACTGAGAGAAATCCAGTGCGTGGAGAGGACCATAATTTGACAGTTTATTCAACTACCTAATGAGCGTCTGTGTCTTCAGTTGATGAAAGACTGGAACTTCGAGCTAGGAAATTGCCACGATCTCCAGTTGATGAAGATATAGCATTTAAAGTCACCTTTTAGGTAACTACAGCCTAGGGAGCGATCAGTGAACGAACATTGTTGTTGGTTCATTCCAAGCCAAAATGATGAAAAACGGCGTCGTAATTTGAAGCCTACTTCATCCCCGTGGGGGCCTATGGAAGCTGCTCTGTAAGGGCAAGTGGATGGCACCACAAAGAGCGACAATCCATTTCGAAGTGTGTGAGTAACACATCATAGAGCTTCGAAATGCGACTTCCTCGCCTTTGGACTCCCATCGACCAGCCCCAGCAGAGAAGCATCCGTAGGCCCCCACGAAAAGTAACTAGAGCCCTATTAACGGGAGCAATTGCTCCGAACTTTATTTTCATCAAAGAGGGGCGAAAACATTACCTGCGATGAGGAGATCACTCAGGCCAAGAAACACCTAAAGCCTCCATGACTCCTTTGACAACCAGCGTCTCCTCCTTACTATCAATGAAGACAGCCCCAACGATAGCTTCCATTGTAGACGCCATGGGGCCCGGGTAGATTGTGTTCCCCTGGGATCGATTGGCAAACACACATTCTGCTAGGCCCGTGGAAAAGCCTTGCTGCGCAAGATAGGCGTTAGACGATTTCTCCGATACAGCATTGTTTATCTGACCTGCGAGAAAGCACAGATATATCCATCAGTGTCATGTTACGTACCATGGTGGTGACAAGTCATCACTTACCACGGGTCGCATGTCGACGAAGGCCCTCCTTGACAAGAATCAACTTGATAACAGTATCACCAAGTAGAGCTAGGTCCTTGTTTCCATTTTGGTGGATACTATCAGCAAGCTGTAATGCTCGTTGAAGTCCAAGTCGGTCTTTGAATCGATAAGAAATGATTTCCTCAGCCTTCGCGAGATTTCCATCTCCAATAGGGGATGGATTAAACATGGTTGATTGCGGCTAAGGTTGTGGAAAGAAAGGACTTAGAAAATCGTGTTGAACAGTTGGCAAGAGGAAGGATTCTTTTCTTGTCACGTAAGTAAAAGCTAGATAGGATTGCTGGCGTGGGTGGCGTACTGAGTGTGAGTTGCACTATCTTGAAAGGGACAAACATGGTGATGTCATCGATTACGAAGTCGCCGAATCAGGCCCACCATGGTCGCGAGTAAGAGGGATGGGCAATTCGCCAGCTCCCACTATATTAAAGGATGAATCAGGTAGTCCCGGACGAAATACTGGCGAACTCTTATCTCGAAAGCCCTTCTGAGAAGTCTTTGGAATGGCGGAAGAAAAATCAGCAGTAGAAGCTAGAGAAATCTCGAACTCACATTCACGGTTCTTCAGCAATCACTTATCCATTATCAACTCCTACAGATGGTCTTAGTAGAAGACTAGGTTTCAAATATCCAAAAGATGGCGCAAAACGACCCAGATGAAAGGCTGGTCTATCTGGCTTGCCAGCATATTTTCCGTGGCTCCCACTCCCACGTCCGAAGATTAAAAGTGATCAGGAGCTTGATTCAAGAAAACAAGCCTTCACTCGCAGATATTTTGCGGGAATATAATATCGATCGGACTATAAATGTCGCGAAAAGGTTGCTTGAGGATCAAGTTTTTGACGATACTTTGAAAGCCAAGATACGATTCCCGGAATTGTTTGATGTATCACCAACTCAAAACGCCGAGAGAGAAGCTTCAGAGGCAGAGGCGGCGAGAAGTGAAGCAAGTGCGGTAAGGGAGATCTCCGAAAGGGAAGCCTCTAGAGACATCGATATCGTTTCTCAAGCAAAACCAGATAATGAGGGGGACAGGAAAACAGAGAGTAGGTATACCCGATTCATAAAAATCAAAACCCAATACAATTTATTAACTCCAACAGAATCACACTTGGGAGCAAATTCAGATATCAATAAAGGCATTCCGTCGCTATACCCAGTATACATACAGTATCGATGTCAACATCTTATCACAACCACGATACAAAACCTACTCGAAGAGAGTTGTTTTGAGTTCGCTCAGCAGCATTTCCCTCACATTTTGGCAATAAAAGGCTGGGATTGCCCCGAGGCAGTAGAACTGACAGAATGGACGAAGCTCATCGCTCGACATTCTCCACAGCCGGTGAAAGGCACAAATAAACCAATCGACGAATTATTTGGCCTTCTTCATGAGTTACGACACTCTGCAGTCCACAGACTTCGAAAGACCGCGAATGGTATCGAACGACTTGCCGAAAATGCACAGCTTTTTCTTGAAGCTTTGGATGATTCATTTCGTTCAGAAAAAGTTTCCGTGCTTCGAAGGGAGCTGAAAGGCGCAATTGAAGAGCTCAAGCGCAATAAGGATCTCTTAGAAGGGAAACTAAATACACAACTCAAGAATATACAAAGAAAGCGAGCCGAATTGGATATGTGTGAAAAAACTGCAATCGAATCTATGGGTCTCGATGATCAACAATGTCAGAACGATGTCGGTGAAGAGTTGAATGGCGCCGTTCGAAATTTGATGTCAAACGAAACACAAAATGCGAAAGGGAAGGGAAAGTTGTTTTCTATAGACCAAGGGTTGTCTCAATCGGAAGACGATTTCCCCGAGGCGGATTTAACAATATATAGCCGGGAACTCGACTAGGGCTCAGTGCAGAATTGCGTACGTTTGTGATTTGAAAATTGAATGAGGCAGAAAAAATTGATGTTATTCTACAAACCTAACACTATATATATAGCTACCATGGGCGATTCTCGTGGCCACGTTATGCAGTCGAATATGGACTACCTGATTGGCCAGCCATGGGGAGTAGTTGCATTGAAGGTGATCGTTTGAGGGGCATCAGGGTACGATAATGTGCGTATTAGGTGATTCATGTAAAATACTCTAGCTTGTGGTGTCCCATTTTTTATGTATATTACAATCTCTAATTCAGGAATGGATGGTCAAGGACTATATTCAATCAATACTAGTGCTCTTCGGATTAAAGTTTACGGATAAATTGGAAGAGTGTGAAGGTAAAACTGAACTCGAAAACTACTGTATGTAATAAGTTGACTTCGGGTTCCACCAAACTCACAGAATGAAATACAAATTGCAGTACCACAATAATGACCCATTTATCCGTATTAATATAGAGCAACCAGAATATTCCGCAATGAACTCCTACATTGTCGTGCAGCCAGTGCTATTATGGGGCGAGTGATTAACGAGGTACTCGGATTGAAAGTGACAACATGACAAGGGGCGAGATCACTTTCCTGTTATTTACGCCAGCTGATCGAGGGTAGGTCGGGTGCCGAGTAAGCCCCCCAGACCGACTTGGACATAGGAGCAGAAGGGAAGTGCCAGTTCACCAGATTCTTCTAAGCTCTGGTGTTTGACTTGTTTACATTTCCATGGAAAATTCTAGTTTCCTTGGATCGCCAGTACAGTCACAAGACGAGACTCCGTATTTTAATGGAAGTATTTGACGGTATCGAGACCAGTACAGGAATAGTATTATTCCGTTCATCTTTCCTGATATCGGCTAGTGCTTCTTGGCAGTGGGGCTAAATAATCACTTAAAGAGTGTAGACGGTTGCACCAGTTTCGGGAAGTACTGTAGTAGATCCTCTTCATCCCGGCTGGTCTCCTTCCGATGTAGCTAGGGCCAGTTCTACGGTACAACACCACGTCGCTGTCGACAGCTTCAAGAGTGAAGAGATGGCTGTTAGATGAAAGAGATCTCTCCCTACAGTGCATATAAGTGCCGGTGTTGTGGGACGGTAGACGGGTATATCTCACCGAGGATATCTCGACGTTGATGAATACCCGGTGAAGCGGCCATACGGCCGACGGTGACGTTTCGTTCATCCTGGTGAAAGATCAACGCTTCACGAAGACTTAGTAAATTAGCCATTTCTATTTTCTTTAAAGGTTGACATTTGATTTATTGGTCCTCTGTCTGCCGCATTGGAAAGAATGATTGGCCTCCGCCATTATATTAAACCTCCACCTCCAGCAACCCTTCACTGCCAGTTCAAACGCTGCTGCCACTTCCCCCGCGACGACTATACCAGGAAAGTTTTGAAACAGATGGACAAATCCGGTCAAGATGGTTCGTATAACTTTATTTCACCGCGTGCCTGTGCTCACAACAGACTATATATCGACTTCGATCTCGACCTTCACGCAATCTGGCGAGAATCCTCTTGTATACCGGCGCCGCCTCCTTGTCTTTGCGCAGATCACGGAGATATAGCGCTAGGCTTTCCGAATGGATTAAAGTCTGTAGCACACGAGGGACAAGGATCCCCCTTGGTCGAATGCTTCTTCCACCCCAACAACGATAACCAGTCGGGCTTCAAGTGGACGGGTCCAGATCCTCTGTCGTTCGCCACTCAAGCTGATGACCTTTTCCTTTACATGTCAGCTTTCTTTCTTTTTGAAGAAGTCTACTGGGTAGAGTTGAGGCTTGCAAGATTTGATCGCTTAACCGGCGAGACAGTGGGTGAGCATCTGTTCTTCCTGCCCCGTGTTGAAACGGCCATGGGGAATCTATGCCGGGTGCGTGGACAGATCCTGGAAATTATATCCCTAGCCACTGTAGGAGCGATACATCCTTCCTTCCGACTGTCTTTGTGGCCCCGCACAGAACCTCTACCGTATTCTGGTCACTCTACTCTGTCCCCGCTAGCGACACTACCCACGACGCCATCCCTGGATCCATCGTTCTTTGTACATAGTCTCCTGGAAAACTACAAATGAATGTGACGCACTCATGTGACTGTACCTGTGTTTCCGTTGTTTTCTGAACGATGTCCGCAAGATCGTCAATAGTCACGTAATGGCAATGTGCTTTGTACGACATTCTCTAAATAAAACAAAGCCTCGTCAAAGGATTGACACTACGTTTGAGTACGGGCTTCACTTGTTTTCTGTTTGGTTCATTACATGGCAGTAAAAAAATACATGGCACACTTTCCCACTGGCAACCCCTCACTCGGTTCTTTTGGCATCCACCAACATGCCCAGACAACTTTTCGAGCATTGGTTCCAGCCATTAAGCACGACAGTCAGTCGTTCCCGAGACATTTCCAAAGCCTGCTCAAAGGGAAGCAGTCGTAATCGCTGCTCATCATGAGGAAGCTGAGGTCCATTCCTCTCTTCGCCCAGGTGCCTAGGCACACATGATTCCCATAGACGTCGATAGAGCCCCACGGATCGAGCCGCTTGAAATGCGAGTTTCGGATCGTCGCGATCGAGATTTGCTAGTGTCGCCAAGATGGGTTGAAAGTGCTCGATCGTCAGGGTTTCTTTCTGGTTGGTTTCCAGCTACGGGAGGGAGAATTCCAGTAGTCAGCCAAAAGATCTGATACTGTATGGGATGCACCTAACTTACCTGTCGTGGTTTGGGATCAGAAGCGTCCTTTGGGTAGCCTTTATCAACTTGAATTGGCAGTCCAGTCGGCTGCTGATCTCCTTCACTATTTTGGTCCGGTGCGTTCCTTGGAGCATCCATTTCGTAATGGGCAAAGAAATGATTTCAGAGAAATTAGTCTGTACCGGATGGTAGCCTCTCTTATAGTCCACCTGGAGACACGTAGTCACCTTGTTAGTGTTACGACAGAGGTATGGGTCTCAACGCAGTCATTTATTTGATTTTGAAGGCTATTTGGTATTGCGGCCGTTGAGCAACTCTATTCCCATGCTGATGAATATGTCAGTAGCCAAACAAGTTATTCAAGCAGCGTTGAATCTTCTCTCGCAGCTTCAACGGCTACATAAATTCAAACGCTATATTTCTTAATTGAAAGCATTTGGCTGGCCAGGACCGGTGAGCAACAACTGATACAGCCTTGTCAGCGACTGGTGAAAAACTAGGAATTCTGTATCAAGCCGGGCACTCTGTCTGCTTGATTCCTAGTTGTCGGCAGCAAAAGCCCGGATTGAACGAGCCTCACAGGTGGTGTCTGGTCAACGTTGAATCAACGACCATCTCGCCTCACAAACAGGCGTCTTTATATGTTGTTCATGTATTTTGTCAACAATCCAGATTCACGTTGAAATCAAACCGTGCACAGCAAATGGCAAGACTTTGTTTTCGATAGGATTGTTGAAGGGAGGGTCAACTAGCAACTTGGGTGAACAAGCAGCGATGATTCAGGTATTCTAGGTTTCTGTGCGAGTTTTGCTGACTTTTTCTACCTTTTGTTTCGTCCGTGTTATTTCAATGGGCCACTCCTTCTAAAGACTGATCGATTTTCGTACTCAGTCATCGCGCTCTACAGTGGGGTTAGTGCCTCCTACTTTCGCCTCATTTTCGGCACAGAGATCCCGATCCATGCTTAGTGTGGGCGACATTTCACAAATAGTACAACAAGCTACGACAACATCCTCGCAAACAGAAGCATGTAAGACGGACATGATGTTCCCAAGCGACACACTACTCTTCTACGGTGACAGAAGCGAACAAAAAGACCTGATCGATCTCATACCCACCGAAGAGCCTGGCATGGAGTTCCACCAGCATGAAAAGTGCGACTCTATCTCTCATGGCTTGACACACCCATTGCACATCAGCCAAACCAGAGACCATGGTCATCTTTGTCAACAAATGAGTTGCTCAATTGATCCAGGTTCCAGCCATTGCGGATGGCGGCCTGTGGTCTGTTGGTTTCGATACCAGCCTATCTGGGAGCCATCGAACTCACCCTTGGAGGCTTCCCCTGGCCATTTTGACCTTGTGCCTAATTTGTTCGGAACCTGCCCCTTCCCAGCCCCACAGAATACCGATGATCCGTGGATAGAGCGGCTTCGAGGGCAGCACATTGGACAAGACACGCAGGTTGCAGAGGCCTGTCAAGTCTTCCGACAATCCCCGAATCCCCTCCGTACGCAAGATCCCTCCGATTTCGGTGTCGGAGATTCACAAGCCAGCACCCCACGGCAACAGTTCAATTGCAGGCTTTCGGGATGCAAGCGCCAATTCAAACGTCAAAAGACCTTGAACCGCCACCTGGCAAGCCATTCAGGAGCGAGACCTCATGTCTGCTGGGTCCCTGGGTGCCAACGCAGTTTCTCGCGGCGTGACAACCTCAATGCCCACTATAAAACGCACGGCAAACGTGGGGGCCGCAATCGGTATGTGGCTACCCTGGACAAGGCAGGCACCATGTATAACCCTGAGTTCTGTGGGCAGCTAACGCCTGAAGGCTGGCCACTTGACCATGCTCGCCATGACTGATCTGGTGCTTGAGATGTACAGTGGCACCGGATTTCCACTGTTCTTCGACTTTCTGTTACCAAAGTAATGGTATAGGCTTCACTGCAGTTGCATATTGTCTCTTTCCTCTTGGCCTTCTCGCTTTTGTGCTGTGAAACTATGTTTCACTCAACCACAGGCCTATTACCTTTCATTGGATTTTCTAAAACCCGATTCGATATATGTAACATTCAGATTAGCAAAACGCAATACGAGAAGTCCTTACTGAAATGAAAGTCGTATGATATTCGCTGCGGCCTTGAACCCTTGGCGGAGCTCGCTATTCTCTGACTGGAGTTGCTCGTTGTGCCAGTGAACAGCCTGGTGGTAGTGGGCGGGCTTTTGTGACTCGAGATCTCGGTGCTACTCGAGCGTTTTGATATGAGACTCGGTGCGC